TCAAATCCCAGCTGGCTTTGGACACTGAGAGCACTATTTTCATCAAGCCGACTTCATTCAAAAAAACTTAAGGATATCTTCAAACTCAGAAAAGTATGCACCGGTGTCCGATCCCAGGTCGGATCGGACACCCGTGGCCTGCTTGGGAACAGTGCCTCCGAGTGTCGGATCCTAGGTTGGATTCGACACTCCCAGGCCCGTTCCTGATGAACTCTCGGGAGTGTCGGATCCTGGTGGTGCTCGGAGTGTCGGATTTTGGCCGCGGCCGGAGTGTCGGATTTCGGCCGTGGGCGGAGTGTCGGATTTCGGCCGTGGGCGGAGTGTCGGATCTCAGGTCGGATCGGACACTCGCGGGCCGACCCTGTGCAGTGTAGCAGGAGTGTCGGTTTCCGACTGGCTACTTTCGCGGTCCGGGTCCGCATGAGACCCGATAATCCGGCCTGACTCAGGCCCGCGAGTGTCCGATCCCACATGAGATCCGACACTCCGCCCACGGCCGAAATCCGACACTCCGCCCACGGCCGAAATCCGACACTCCGGCCGCGGCCAAAATCCGACACTCCGATCCGACCTGAGATCCGACACTCCGGCCGCGGCCAAAATCCGACACTCCGCCCACGGCCGAAATCCGACACTCCGGCCGCGGCCAAAATCCGACACTCCGGCCACGGCCGAAATCTGACACTCCGGCCGCGGCCAAAATCAGACACTCCGGCCACGGCCGAAATCCGACACTCCGGCCGCGGCCGTATGAAGTGTGGGTTAGAAAGCGTTCTGGGTTTGGGGGCGTGTTTGGGATATTAGTTTGGGCTGGGTGCCATTTTTTTTCAAAATATTTCGTGGAAACTCTCAGGACCAGGTCTGACTGGCATTGTATATTTTATGCCATGGCTTATTGTGAGTGTGTGTTTATCCATAGTCTGCAGTTAGCAGTATTTATTATAATTAGTATTGTTTGTAATCTGTTACGTTATAAAATAATACTAATGTCATACGACGAATGGTTTTCGGGGAAGCCTGCGTCATGTGCGGAAGATCAGTTATTTATTCATAGAAACGGTTATTAATAGCTTCTTGTTGCTATTTCCTGCTCCTTTACTTAATTCTTTATGGTGATTATGAGCACTGATTCGTTACATTTGTATTTTATGATTCGTGCTAGATTTTCGGGCGAGCGTTTCTCGCGTGCACACCTGAGAGAATCCCAAGGCAATCAGTGATGCGTAGATTATCCTGACTGAAATCACATAGTCTTCGGGTCAAGGACTGACTGACAATCGGAATGTATGTGTTTCAGAGTCTGACTCCGGCCGCGTTTTGCTTGCCATCCTCTGACTCTGACGTGCAGCCAGGGTACCCTGGTACGGATGGCCGCTCTGTGCGGCACGAGGGTCCGTCCGTCGTGTGAACAAAGATCCGAGTCTTTGTGTTTCCCATGTGCTGCCGCAACAACATGTCCTTGTATTACGAGTTGTCTTCTGGTTGTGCGAGCAGTGATACAGATTCGGCCGGTTCCACGGCAGTCCAGCAGGCTCAGGTCTAGGAGCTTTTCTGTCTGCGGCAGTGAGCCGGACTCATGCCCGCGGAGAAGAGGCGAAAAAGTGGAGGTGAAAAAAAAAAAAAAAAGCGGGCTGCTGAGTCGGCGGAGGAACGTGCCAGCCAGGAGGAGCTGGGAGAGCAGCCGCATGTCATGCGGGTCACGGCTTGGTCGCTCGTTGAAAGTTTAATGCTACATCATAGTCATAGTTAGTTTTTTATTATCATTAATTATTATGTAGTTTGCTGAAATCACCAACATTCAATGCCTGGGTGTGAGTCTGAGTCTGTTGGCTGGATGAGACGTGAAAAAATATCGTTTGGCATTCGTCTGGTCTGATGGTGAAAGTTGATTCTGAGTCTGGTCGTCACAATTGAGGTTCCGGGACGTTGTCATGCCAGCTGGAGGTCCTGATCGGTACTTGACCCAGAAGTACCCCGACGAGGCTGTTGTTGCTTGGGTTTTCTGCTTATCTTCCCCCGCAAGTCATTGGTCCTTGATTCTGAGAGTCCAGTTTTGTCAGGAATCCATGATGGACTTTGCTGCTTGGATTGACAACCTCTGCCCCGCGACTGGCGAGCTGCTTGTCAGTCAACGGTCGTGTTTTCGTGTTTGCTGCAGGTCGTCAGCTTACTTTCATTTCTTAGTCGTGACAAATAATTAATGTCAATTATCATATTATTTAATCTTTGAGGACATATGCCACGGACACGGACAAGCCGGCAATGCTGCGCCCGTGGATGTTGTCCTGGCGCAGTGATTATGGCTGCAGTGGTGTTTTGGACCCTGAAGTAGGTGAATGTCTCTTAGAGCTCATTCTTTGCCGGGGGCTGCTGGGCAAACATTATGGGACAGTCAAGTCATCATGTCATGATAAGAGTATTTCATGCTGGTCTGCTGGTTTCCTTGTGATGTCAGGTTCCAATCCAACCCAGATGCGGGTGTCGCCATAGAGAAACTGGCCTGCACAGCCGTCCCGGACGCATTTCTCGAAGGTGCGAGGACCGCTTGCAGAAGTTTGCATCCAGGGAGCGGCTTGGCATATCAAAGATGTTACTCAGTTTAAGCTGGGGGCCCGCCGGTCTGATCAAGCAATCTCGTTGCGCCATCATTATTTTGAGTCTGAGGTGCACTTCTCACGCCGTTCTCGGTCGGGTACGTGAAGGGGTGGAAGCGGAGTGTGTGCCTGTTGGCGGCCCTTCAGGCCATACGTGAGTTGGACCTTGAAGCACAGGTTCCTGCGGCAGTCCTGGTCACTCGTCCTGACGCTGAGTGCGTGAGCTGAAGTTTCGTGGCAGCACCACACTGCACGCCCCAGATCCCAAGGCGAGCTTCCGCAACATCTGTGCGACCTTTGGTGCTTTCAGTGACACCAGGTCGAAGGTTCTGGCCAACCGAGGTCGGAGCCGTGACGTAGAACTTGCTTCTGGTAGTTTGTGCAACTTCGAATAATGCCAGGAGCTACCATGGCTGCCGCCGCGACTCGCAAAGCACCCAACTGCTTCAACTTCTTGCGTCAGATCAACATCCTCAGCCGTGCTGGTGGTGGCACAGCCCAGAGTCAGTTGCAGGAAGCCGCGTGTTATGTATCCACTAGTCAGTCACTTAGTCTAAGTCTAGTGCTGCTTGGATTCGCGTCTGAGTCTATGACTCTCGAGCTGTATTTTGTACCGCCTGGTTTGTTGCTCGTGAACAGCAGATGCTCGCATTTGCCGTCAATTTTGTGCAGGATTGGGAGAGTTCCATGAAGGTTGCCAAAGCCTTCTCCATCGGAGCCCAAGAATCCAAAGCGATCGTGAATTTGGTTTCGAAGATGCGGTCCGACGTCCGGACAGCCTTGCTGGAAGCAGTGAGGCAGAGAGGCATGGCAAAACTGCTGACGCACGAGGCCCCGCCGATTGAATTCTGAAGTCAAACAAACTGAGGGTTGAGAGTGGGTTTGAGGCAACTTCGGATTCAGGTATTTTGTGATTACTTACGAGTTTTCATGTTGTAGTGCTTGCCAGTACAGCAGGCTCCCCACAGATTTAAGGTTCTCGAAACACCTCGCAAGTGACCGGAGCCGGACGTGGAGCAACCCCATGTGATGCAGGTCAATGCTGATTTCGCTGAATCAATCACAAACCTTAAATAAGTCAGTCAGTGTAGATCCCCATGCTGCGTCAAAGGCATCTGCAGTGTGTTGCGTCATCCGGATCAGAATCTCATTGCCATGATGATGCTGATGCTGGTTCGTGCTTGTTGTCAGTTTGTGGTGAAAGTGGTGCTGTGGATGTTTTTAATTCATCATTTCAGGGAAAACATCATAACTGTCAAAGCCCGAAGAGTCAGTTTGGCAGGCCATCAGCAAGGACATCTTCAATATCTCGTGGTCCAGCGCTGTGGGACCTGCTGCTGCTTGGGAGAAGCAACTCACGAACAAAACAAACAGTTCTGAGTTGGTGCCTCGCCTATGTATGCTATGCAAGACAAACTTCGACTAACTAATCATTTTGTCACTGTGTGCGGGAGAGACATTCATTGTTGACTTGAGTTAGTGCTGTTATATGACGTGACTGAGTTGATGCTTCTGATCCAGAGAATGTGCGGCGAGTACGATCAGAATGTCCCTTCCATGCGAAAGGCTTGGGGATACCAGGTAGCCTTGGCACGGCACCAGGTGTGCGGAGCATACCTGCACTTCAGGGCCTTGATGGAGAAACGCATCCCTGGAGGGAAATGGAAGGAGGTGCAAACTTCCTTGGACTCCCAGTTTCAGCACGGCTTTCTCGATGTAGACTTGAGCCACGTGCTTTGCAACGAAGTGCCCCCGGGCAGCCTGGAGTCCATCAGCGCATGCCGGTGCCCCGGCAGTAAGTATGAAAACTTCTTTCATCCAAGTGCTGTTTGAATCTTTGTCTTCAGCAACGAGTGGTAGTACCACTAGTTACAAGTGTTGCGAGTTACTAGTACTACTTACTACGTAGTAAGTAAGTAAGTAACAGTAGTACAGTAACTGTACTACTGTTACTTACTTACTTACTACTTACTACTACTACTACTACTACTACTACTACTACTACGGTCCAGTGCCAGGTTGGCCAGGCTCCGTGATGCATTCAGGAATAACGCTCTAAACAATTATTATTGATCGAAGTGGTAACAACTTAAAGCTTGATCCTCGTATCCTAACAAATTAATCGGGTCTATAGGTCCCACCAGGTGGTATCAAGTGACACTTGGAATCACTATTAATTTATTACTAAGATAATTTCTTCGGCCTGGTCTTATCCTGATAAGCGTTATGGGGTCCATGTGTCCATGATAACACGTGGGTCCCGGTATCTTCACTCTTCATGTTGGGGGGGGCTTGGTACTGCAATCCTTCTGGGTCCTGGTTTCCTCAGAGGGGTCCTGCCCTAAAGGAATTCCGAACTATAAACCAGTACTACCTCCAAATTACAACTAATACTTTAAGAGCTCAGAGCGAGGCTGTAAATAATATTTAGATTTGGCAGGTCGATGCCATGTCCGAGTCAGTCCATGCAATTCCGACAGGCGAAGGCAAATCCAACAATCTTCATGTGCTATGCCGGCTATCTGATACAGCAGGAAGCATGCAGCAGGAGAGATGATGGCACACATCAAGACAGTGAGCTTTTAATGGCTGGTGCATGTCGCAGCTGAACTCGAATTCCCATGTGCATTGTCGACAATCTGTCAAATGATGGCTGACTGACCAGTCAGTGTCATTTCATGGTCGCACGGAACTTTCGCGGCGTGAGCGTGAACTTGACAATTAGAACGCGGATGTGCAAGCACGCGGCCATGTTCGTCCAGTTGGCATACTGCAGTGAGGGGTCATCGTGCGTCCTGCAATGCATGCAGAATAATTTAATCTTGACCGCACGTTGAATTGGCGATGTGTGGGGATGCGTGACTGTGCCATACGTGGCATGCTAACACACCACTATATTCGGACACTGCGTTTTCAATAATAAATATTGCAATGATGACCGGTTGTCGGCGTCATGACAAGACATGCAATGCATGCGGATCCTGATCGCATGTTCAATGGGCCATGGGTTTGGACGACTTCAGGGTGACTTTGGGGCTCACTGACTGGCTGGGCTGCTGTTATCCGCCTAAAGCCTAGTAATGGGTGGTAGCATGGCACCGTTGCATTCCAGCCTGGCGTCGTAATGAATTTATGATGAATATAATAGTTAGTTGTCGTGCTGTCGTGCTATCTGAAGTTTTACTAATTAAATTTAATTGTCACCCTCCTGGCAGTTAATTTGTCAGTTACTACTACTACTACTACTACTACTACTACTACTACTACTGACTACTACTACTACTTACTACTACTAGTACTCCTACTACTACTACTACTACTAGTACTAGTCAGTACTAGTACTGGTACTAGTACTAGTACTAGTACTAGTACTAGTACTAGTACTACTACGACTACTACTACTACTACTACTACTAGTACTAGTACTAGTACTACTAGAACTATTACTACTTTACTACTACTACTACTTCTACTAACTGTTACTACTACTAGTTAGTACTATCACCACGAAGACTATTATTGCTGTTGCTGCTGACTGCTACTAGTAACAGTTAGTTGCGGTTGGTGCTGGTTAGTGTTATTCTTTGTCTCCTTAGAATTCAGAAGTGGTCTCACACTAGAGAAAAGTCAAGAAAGAATAGCAATAACCAGCACCAAGAAAGATCAGTAATAATAATAGTAGTAACGGGGTCGAGGGTTCAGGCTTCAGGGTTTAGGGGTTTTAGGTTTAATATAAACAATTATTATTATTACTGAGTAAGCATGGAGTACGGTTGCGGTGTGTTAAATTAATAGTCAGACTACTTACCATGATTTAGTTCGTTCTGATCCCAAAATGCTCAGGCCCTACCTGCGGCAAGTCGAGATAGCGGAGGACGAGAAGAAAAGTGCGGAAGCGGAGAAGATGAAGAAACAGGTTCGGGAGGCCAGCTGTCAGCAGCTCATGGCCCAGATCGAGAATGACATGGCGCAGTTGCATGGACGGGACATGAACAAGCACAGGGCAGCGCGGGAAACAGCTTTGGATGTCAAGTACATTCGTGACCGGCAATCGTTGCATGCAAGAATTAGTTGCACGCCATGTTAGCCAGTTGACATCGTCCCGGGAGTGCTGTTCGAACTAAGGCAAGGACACCTGTTCGTCGAGAACTTCATGAAGTCTTCGTGTCAACTTCTTCGTTTGGAGGAAGATGCGGATTTCGTGAAATCCGCGATCCTGAACAAGTTCTTGTCTTACTGCGAGGAATTCCGTGGATGTGCTGGCTCGGTGTTGCAAAGTTGCACTTTCATATCCACGAGGGCTGCAGGGCCAAGTCATATGTTGCTGGGCAGTGCTCTGACTCAGGTATGTCCTGGTGCTTCTGGATTTCACCGTGTTTCCAGCCAACGGGCTTTACGTGAAGCAAGCGCTGGACGTTTGCTCCAACGTCCTTGCGCTTTCCCAAACGCATGCTGCGCACGTGCAATTGCCTTTGGTCCAAAAGCAAACGTCAACGGCGGCTGCGGTCAAGCATCGCAGAAGCGTCGAGGATCACTTCATGAAGGCGAACGTGTCCCTGCGGGATGGAGTGTCCCTGCTGTTCTCCAAAGACCTGGATGCGACAGCTTCGGACCGTCGCGCCCTTTCCCAATCATGCGTGGCGTGCATGTACGAGGACTTCAAGGAGTGCTCCTTTGTGAAGCGGCTTGCCTGCATGGCCTGAATTAGTCCTGTCTGCAGTGTCTTGGAAATTGCCTGGTGTGAAAACCCGAGGAGTGCAGCGGTCACGGAGGGTCGCATCGGACCAGTGCCGTTGATCCGGGTGAGTGAATTCATTGGCTACGATGATTTGCTGCGACCAGGGGCGGCGGCCCGTGTGGAACAGCAACTTAGTAAACATATATTTGTTTGTTGACGGCATTGTGAGTGACGGTAGCGTGTATGCCCCTGTTGCACAACTAGGCTACCTTCTGAAGCACATGTCACTTTACTTTGTACTTAGTGTGCAGACGAGAGTCCTTGTACACATCGAGACGTCGTGTTGATGTTGCAAAGTTCCCACCATGATTTATCAAGGTCATTGCTCAGTCTGTCGGTGCACTGAGGAAGGGCGTCCCGTGCCATGCCGCCATTATAGATGCGTACTTCAAAGGCCTTGAGATCGAGGAGAAAGACCGCTGCATCATCTTTGATTTGCTGCCAAACAAGTCTGTGACTGAGGAGGGACGACTGATTGAATCACTGGTCAGTGTTGGTCCTTTAGCAAGTGCGTGCATTAGGCTTAGGACTAGCCAGAAGCCGAGGCGTGCAGAATTTGCACGGGCCGCAATCGACGGGTTGTTGACTCAGCCAGCCCCGCAGACCCCGAAGTATGTGGGCGTTCTGAGGGCGGATCAATTTGATGACATCAACAAGTTCATGCGCAGCAAGATCTTCAAGCAGTGGGACCAGGCCGCAGATGCCCCCCCGAAGCAACGGCCTCGCTCGGAGACCGCAGGGCCTGCAACGGACATCCAGCTGGATGTCTTGGCATGCCATCGTGGGCAGGCGACTTGGCCAGCGGAGATCCTGCAGAAGTTCCCCACGGGAACACCGGAGTACCAGAAGCTTGCGGACCTCAAGGCAAAGTTTGACAAGGACTTCCCGAGCGCCCCCACGCAGCCACCTCGTGATTCTGAGACCCGTGCATCCGGAGCTTGTGATTACTCAATCAATGGGGGTGTCAGGCCCGTTGACTTGGAACGCACCGTGGACCTTGAAAGCTTCCCTCTGGACTCTATCCCGGAGGATCGGTTGCTTGGCGTGTATTGGAAGCATCACAGGTTATTGCTCGAGTGTGATCCGGTCTCATTTGTTGCAGATGTAGCCAAAAAGTGTCAAAGGTGGGACTCACACCGAGTCGAGTGAGAGTGGACTCTGTAATTCCTTGCAGTCAGTATGCTTAGCAGCCGGATTGTCATGACGATTGACTTTACTAATTTTTAACATTCTTAGTTTGTCTTATTATATTGACTCACTAGTTGTTTCTTGGGCCTATGGGCCGCACGTGATTGATTGCTGTATACTAGTCCATAACTTTTATATGCCAGTCTCTGAGACTGCGAACAAAACGCTGAACTTTGGTTTCGGGGTGACACGAGAACTTCAAGTTAAATTATCTAGTCATGCTAAGGCTAGTTAATTATTGCTTCTCTATTCCCAACTGCTGTCTTCTGAAACCACTGCCTAGTATCTTTTGATCCAGAACTGTAATTAGCTGTGGACTGTTATTCGTTGTGACATTGTGTTTTGGCTCATGGTCTGTCTCAGTTTGCATCCTGCTTACCCGTGGTTCATTGTCGCGATTACTGCTCTCGTCTCCCACGGTTGTTTGTACGTTTTTTACAGTCGGAGGAAGACAGCTTGGGAGCTGTGCACAAAGTCATTCTGAGATGATGTTCCAAGGCTGGGTCACATGGCAGGCAAGGCTGGCAAGCCTGCAATTGCCATTGGCAAATCCTATGCTCTCTACATGGGGAACGCCACAGACGCGGACATGTGGGTGACTCCTGGAGAGCAGTTTGGATTTGGGACTGGCCAATTCAAGGACAAGATCGTCGGCTGCCTGGCTGGGTCTTTTCAGTTGGGATTCAGGAGGTCAGTTTCATAATAATTTACAATTAAATTAAATATGGGCTGCCGTGTGGCTGTGGCTGAGTCTCTGTCTTTCCGCTTGGGCCAGATGAGTTCTCGGAAACATTATGCCGGCCAAGTTGTGGCTGATGGGTGAGTCGTTGTGCTGTGATTGATTCCAAACCAAGACGATGGCTCCGTTGAATCCGGCGGCCTGGCTTTCCGGCTGTCGAACGATCTGGAGTACGTTGCTCTCCGCAAGGAGCCCCTCCCGCTTTGCGAGCTTCTCCGAAGGTTGTGTGACGAGAACGGCCTGGGGGAGATCGACCTGGAGAGTCACGTGTTGCAGTCAAAAGTCTGGCCGAGCGCAGCTTGTCATAATATTATTATTTTGAATTTTGTTGCGGTGCTGAAATCACGTGATCATGTCGCCTTCTCTTAGTCAGTCTTGTGTGATTGAGAAGATCGCATTATGCGTTTTATTCATGATCCTTCCGCAGCTGCTGTGCTGCTGGAACCAGGTGTAGGCAGTGCCGCCTCGTGCGATGTGTGAGCCGTGGCATCAGGATGTTGACTGGGCAATATGCGTGGGCTGTGCCACGCAATTCATTGCCAGCGGTCACAGACACTGCTGCGGCCGTTGCCGCGAGAGTGGTGGACTGAGTCACTCACGAGGGTGCCTCAGAAGGCGTCGCAGGGCTCGCCGACTTGTTGGCGATAGCTATCGCTACCAGGACGGCATATGTTACACCTCGCAATGCAACAGGCATGCTGGCGCAGGCTACAGTTGCTGCTGCTCCTATTGCTTCGAAACGCACGGACGCCTCCACAGCGTCCGCTGCCAGAATCGTGGTCGTGGCCGTGCTCAGGGCGCTCAGGGCGTTGACCATGGACAGCAGAGTTTGGGAGCAAGCGCAGGTGCCAATGTTACTGTTATTACAGATGACCAAGGCCCTGCAGAGCATGACGATGCAACTGCTGCAAGCTGCGCCGCATCCGAAGCCGTTAGTGGTGCCGCGGTTGCAGCAGTGCCAGATGGACATGGCCAGTTCGGCCAGGATGATGTTGGTTCCGACGAGCAGCAGTTCCAGGCCAGTGCACAGTGTTTTGAGGACGGCCGGGTTACAAGCGACCTGACACTGAATCTGGACAGCCTGGATTGAGCGTTCCGACGGCTGTATCGTGCTCAGCTGCAAAAAGAGCAAATCCATTCTGAGTGTGCCAGCCTGTCAGTCCAGTGTTACAGCATTTAAAAGTTACTTACAGTTACACTTGACTTAACATTACTTGTGATTCGCTCTTCGTGCCAGCAGCATCATCCTCAGAGCCAGCATCAGAATGTACATTCGACAACTAATATTATTTATAATACAACAAATAATAATAACAGTTAGTTATATGTTATTTAATAATATACTAAATAATATGTATATACATAATATATATGATATATCATAAATTAATAATATATATATATATATATATATATATATCATATATTATTAGTAGAAATATGATTTAAAATATATATTATATAAGTCTTAGAATATATATATATACTGAGTATATTACATATATTAGGTTAATTTGGCACTTGCAGTTTTGGGCTCCTGAGGCGTGGTGTCCTGTCCATTCGGGGGCTGCCGGCACCAGAACAAAGTCCTCGGTGCATCTGAGGCTTCTAATCAGGGGTTCTGCTGTAGGCTTAAGCGACTTAAGTTTTGGCCATGTCGGCAATTACTGGCATCGCTACAAGCAGATGCACTTGCTTTGCAGTAACAAGCGGATCAGTGCAGCAGACCGAAGATTCCTTTGCTTTGATCCGACCCGACGGCACTGTTGCCACCTGGGGCGGCCGTGGTGGTGGTCGCGTCAGCACTGCTGTGCAGGATCGTCTGATCACAGTGAAGGCAATCCAGGCCTCCGATTGTGCCTTTGCCGCCATCCGTGGCGACGGAACTGTCGTGACATGGGGCAGCGAGCTCGGGGGTGGTGACAGCCAGGCTGTGCAGGATCAGCTTCAACATGTTCAGCAAATCCAGTCTACGGAGCTGGCATTTGCAGCAATTCGGTCCGACGGCTCGGTTGTCACCTGGGGTTATCCTCACTGTGGTGGCGACAGCAGTGCGGTGCAGCATCAGCTCCAAGAGGATGTGGTTTGCATCCAGAGTTCCAAAGAAGCCTTTGCGGCGATCAAGGCCGATGGATCTATCGTGACCTGGGGCAATGCCAACCTGTTGCTGTCAACGACTTCTTCGATGCCGAGGGCAATCTCCATCAGTGCAGCTTGGTGGGCCTTCGCAGCCATCCAATGGGATGGCTCCGTCTTCACCTGGGGACAGCCAAAGTATGGAGGTGACAGCAGCGCTGTGCAGGATCGGCTGCAGGAGGTTCGAGCGATTTCAGCATCGGAAAGAGCATTTGCAGCACTGCTCGCCGACGGCTCCGTAGTCACCTGGGGTGACGCTTATTTGGGTGGCGACAGCAGCGCAGTTGAAGAGCAGTTGCGGAACGTGAAGGAGATCTGTGCTGCCGGCGATGCTTTCGCGGCCATCTTGGAGAACGGAACGGTTGTCACTTGGGGTGATCCCATGGAGGGTGGCGACAGCAGTGCAGTGCAAGACCAGCTCACGAGTGTGATTGCTGTGCAGGGCAATTGTGCAGCTTTTGCAGCCATCAAGGAGGATGGCTCAGTCGTCACATGGGGCGAAGAAAGTGTCGGTGGTGACAGCAGAGCCGTGCGTGATCAGCTGCGCGGCGTAAGTTCGATAGCAGCTGGCCGAGTGTACTTCGCCGCCCTAAAGGGCGGCGAAGGCACTGTGGTGCAATGGCCAGAGATGTGAGCGGTTGAAGTTGAAAATGCACGAGTCAGTGTCGCAGTGCCTGCTTCGTACCCCAAAGCCAGAGCCCTAAACCCTTAAACCCTGAACCCCAATACCCTAAACCCCATTATAAAAAGTATAAAGTCAGATCAGGTGTAGAGCACCTACGAACAACAGGGCAAATCCATGCGGTTGCATAAGAAACCCGTAACCAGAAACCCTAAGCTCAGATTCTTAATTCCACTAACCCCCTAAACCCTAAGCCCAAACTCACCTTAAACCCTAAAAGCCAGACATCCAAGGCAGATGGAGCCGACCCTGTACCCGTACCATTCCGGTATGAAGTTGCGGCCTTGGAGACGGGCAAGACCACTGTTTTCGTACCGAATGCGATCGCCAGCACTGTTGATGCCATGACAATGAGGCCCCACCGCTGCAGATAATTCTGTAATTCATCGTAAGGCCCTAAGGCCCAAACCTT